AAAAAAAAAAAAAAATTTTTATTTGTAGAGACAGGGTTCTCGCTATGTTGCCCAGGCTGGTCTTGAACTCTTGGCCTTAAGCAATCCTCTCCTCTTCACCTCCCAAAGCCCTGAAATCACAGGTATGAGCCATCACATCCAGCCTTCTACCAGTTTCTTCGCATACTTCTTTCCTAGGCTTGACCAGGACCTTTACTTTCTTTTGTGTACAGCTCAGCATTAAAAAAAAAAAGTTTAGGTTGGGCACAATGGCTCAACACCTGTAATACCAACACTTCGGGAAGCCAAGGTAGGAGGTTTGCTTGAACCCAGGAGTTCCACACTAGCCTGGGCAAGATGGCGAGACTGTGTCTCTATAAAAAAATTTTGAAAAATTACCCAGGTGTGCTGGCATATGCCTGCAGTCCCAGATAGTGAGAAGGCTAAGGCAGGAGGATCCCTGGAGCCCAGGATTTCAAGGCTACACTGAGCTGTGATCATCACTGTCCTCCAGCCTGGATGATAGGATGAGACCCAGTCTCTAAAAACAGTTAAAAATTAAAAAAAGCTTAATAAAAAAAAAAATCTTTATTTTAGAGGCAATGTATTTTTCCTCTTTAACTTTTTGTTTTTGCTAGGCTATGCGCACCATAGACAAAGTTGAAATTTAATCTTAATCTCTTAAACCCTTGATGTCCAAACACATCAAACTTAAAAAAAAAAAAAAAAAAAGGTGAAAGATGTACAAGAGAAAAAGGGAAGTAATCTGTGCCAAATGTACATTCCTTCCAGAGTTTCGGACAAAAATGATGTTTACCTGGTCTCTGGGTACTAAAATAAGACATTAGAGACAGTCTCTTCCTTCAAGAAACAAGATTGGAATTAGACACTAAGATACAATTAAACAGACTTTGAAAGTTGGTAGGCACTACTGGGAGGTGACTCACACCTGGCAGGGTGAAGTGCAACTGGAATAAAAGCTCCTAAGGGCAAGGACTAAGTGGCTTCCTCTGTAACACTGCCATGCCCAGTACTGTACCAGCGCCCCAGCAGATTCAACAACTTTCCGTCAAGCCACATACTTCAAGTCTCATCGTCTAGTGGGGGTCACAGATGAGACATAGTGTGCCAAATCCCAAACGTACAGGGTGCCAGACAAGTCTGCAGGAGACAGGAGGATTAGGAAAGCCTTCCAGGCAAGGTAATACCTGAGCTGAGTTTTCTTTTGAGTTTGGAATATTAATTTAATCAGAGGAAAACACGGGACATGAAAAGGGCTAGGAAATAAGAAAACGAGCTAAGTTTTGAAGGTGATGATTAGATGAAGTGAGAGAAGAATATTCCAACAGAGGGAGACAAGGAGACTAGTGAGATTTCAAGGGGCCAAGAGCTGTCCAGGGAAAACAGGGTTCAAAGACCAGTATTGAAGTGTTCCGGATACCAAGCAAAGGAGACCTTATTACAAAGGCAGTGGGGCTGTTGAAGGGTTTAAATGGGAGAGTGACTGTGAACAGATTAACAGTTTGGAAAGATACAGGCAAGAGTAAACCTCTGGATTTAACCAAAAATAAAGGACAAAGCCACAATGAAGATATTGGAAAAGATCAGGAAAAACGTTCTTAAAAAGGGCTGGGCGCGGTGGCTCACGCTTGTAATCCCAGCACTTTGGGAGGCCGAGGCGGGCGGATCATGAGGTCAAGAGATCGAGACCATTCTTGCCATGATGAAACCCCCGTCTCTACTAAAAATACAAAATTGGCCGGGTGTGGTGGCACGCGCCTGTAGTCCCAGCTACTCGGGAGGCTGAGGAGGAAGAATCGCTTGAACCCAGGAGGCGGAGGTTGCAGTGAGCCGAGATTGAGCCACTGCACTCCAGCCTGGCGACAGAGCAAGACTCCGTCTCAAAAAAAAAATTCTTAAAAATACTCACTCTCGGCCAGGTATAGCGGCTCACGCCTGTAATTCCAGCACTTTGGGAGGCCAAGGTGGGTAGATCCCACTGTACAGTAAGGGACAGGCTGTCAGGAGGCTCCAGCCTGTCCCTTATTGTTCCCTTACTGAGCTAAGCAATTTACATAATACCACACAGGTTAGTCATGTGATTTAAATCTGTATATGATAGCAATTTTGATATTATCACTTAAGTCATTCAAAATATCAGATGTATTGTGTCAAGTCAGTTATAGGGAACCACTGCTTCAGAGAAATCACATCTGAAGAGGTCAGAAGTTCGAGACCAGTCTGCAACATGGTGAAACCCCATCTCTACTAAAAAAATAATAATAAAAAAAAAAATACAAAAATTACCCGGGCACGGTGGCGCACACCTGTAGTC